TTGCAGGTCTGGAAGAACTGGCTTCTCCAGAACTCCACAAGCAAGTTATAAACTAAGCTGCTCCCAAGAGTGAAACTGCCTCAAGCCCTTTGGTCTGCCCGAGTCTATTACACACACCAGAACTCCATAAATGCTTGAAGAATTAAGCGGTGCTCACCATGAGCTCACAGCACACACCTCATGGGATTTTTAAAAATCAAAATGATGCATGCTTACCAAACACACAAAACTAACAACCAGATGAGAAGGAAGGCAGGGTGGTATTTGAAACTACAGATACAACTTAAAGAAGCCTACTAAGAGACATTTGAACTTGCCAATTTCAAGCTTACTCTGGTTCTCTGCTTCACATGACATCTACTCAAGTTTTCACTGTCAAAACCAGTAATATTGCCATTAAGAAAGAAAAGCTCAGCAGAGGAAGAAAGCAGGCCGTGGGGAGCTACACTGGGCCATACCAAGCCTGGAGGCCTCCACCACTATTCTGAAACAAACATTTCACTCTAGAACTAACAGCTAAGTCCAATACATAGACCTGAAAGCCCCAGAAGGTACCACCTCCACTACAGTAGCATATGGAGGCCTTGAATTCAGACCCCACTGAACTAAGTACTGTTTCAAAAGATAGTAAACTTCTTGGTATATGGTCTTCTAGTTATATGCTTTCTTCTGGAAAGAAGCCATTTAACAAGAAAAAAAATGCTTCACAGGAGTTTGAAGTATCACACAACAAATTGTTAACATAGAACTACCTTCATAAACAGGGCAATTTCATGTATAGCCTTAAGAACATTTGTTTCAGTGACAATGAAGCCATAAACTTGGACCAGTGATGTGCGTAAAATGATCAGGACTGCACAGATTTGCACTGGTAGGACTCCATCTCTTTCCTGGTTCTGGAAAGCACTTTAAAGCAAGATTCTAACCTACACTTGCAAAAGGTTAGTGGATGCCCCAGCCCACAGGATGAAATAAAAAGGGTCTCAAAACTAAGTTTGTCTTCCAAAGTTCTCCCCTCTCCTATAGCTTTCACCTGCGGATCCGCTATGTGAAGTCAGTGAGACTTATTTTAGGCTTAAAGCCATGCTTTTAATATACTATGCTCCTATTTTTACATTAATAAACGCTTGAATTTCAATATGTGAAAAGGCAGTATTACTTACCATCTAGCAATTCTAGAGTAACTGAAGGGTCTACATATTCCCACCAGTGTTTTCCATCAGTTGATACTGGAATCTCCCAGTTGGACCACTTGCAGGCCAAGTGAATGCACACACATGCTATCACTGTAGGCTTGTACTGAAGACAGAACGTAGTAAGATGAAGACTGTTGCACAAATTTCGTAATGAGGAACCAAAGGAAAGCAAACATGTAAAACAGAAAACCCAAACAAATCAACCATTAACATACAGAGTAAGATAACACGTCAAGCAACAGCAGTTAAACATTAGGTCAAGGAACATTTTTCTGATTTAAGTTCATAAGATATCTTACTGCCTTAAGAAAACAAAGGGCAGGGCATTTATCTGGTGAAAAAGTTTAATTTGCTTTTGCTATAAAAAGTGCAACAAACAGTAAATAAATTTACCAGTCATTCTACTGTAGTTAAGTACCAAAAAGAAAGAAGTATAAAATGGTCAATTAAAATTCTACAGTAAAAAACCATACAGCTGATTATGCAGTCTCTGAATGAGACAATTAGAAGAAGGTACCCAATAGTTCCACAGAAGCCAAGTGAATTACTCGTGGGCTTAGCTTTCACTGGGCCTGGATTTGTGGTATTTGCAAACTTGCCTTCAGCTTCCAGCTGGCAGCAGCACAAAGACATTGGTTCAGTTTCACTGCTTTATCATAACTTTTGTTAACAGCTGTTTCAAATATAGAACCTTGCCCATCAAGGAACCACCAAGAAATATTTATTTGGAAGAGTTCTAATAACCAGCAGATACTGCTTAAAAAACTATCTACATGTAATGTAATCCTCTTAAATAAAGCTCAAAGTTGTTTTGCAAGAAGTAAGCTGAAGTAATCAAGAAATCAAGACTGAAGTCTGCTCTCAAATTCCACCTTTCTACAACAGACTATGTATACACAATTCCCATTTGGAATCCTAGAACTTTAAATTTATGTAAGTACTTAAGTTTTAAAACTATATATTAAGATTAAAGAGCCGCTTCTAAACGGAAGAACATCGGACCACTACTAGTCCATCCGAAAAGAAAAATCAGCTAGTTGAAAAGATCTTAGGCCCACTACAATTTTATAAGTTAAGATTGGATCAATATATTTAAAGTTAAGAGAAAAGTGCCATTAACTACAAGTGTAAACTAAAAATAGTTTTGTACTTACCAAGATGCTCGAATTTCTAGGTTAAGTTTAGCTCTTTGTAATCTTTAGCTGCTATTCAGGCTACCAATTTTAGACTTATGCACTCACAATCGAGAAAATGTCATCAGAAAGCACCACTACACTTCTCATTGTGCATTTAACCCCTTTGTGCCATCAGGCCCTTGTACAATACACCGCACTGCAGACAAGAAGGTACCACCACTGTAGATGGCCCAGTCTCCTGTTGCAACAAGGGTAAGACACATGTAGGGGGCCCTGCAGTAAAGGAAGCTATAGTGTGCTACAACAGTGCAACAAAGAGGTTCAGGATAACAACCTGTTGGTAGCCATGAAATAGGATGTCTGTGCCAAATCCTTGCTTGCTGTAAGAAAAGAAAAACAGAGAGATTAAAGATCTGCACTAACTTGTCAGGTTCATTCCAAAATTAAAGCACTTTTACCTTCCAAAAGCACGACTTGTTATTTCCACAGAACTGACCTGAATTTAGCTAACTAGCCTTTAAAAGAATCTTTTCCGAGATACAGAAGAAGCTGTTACATTCAGTAACTGGAGATGGACCAGTCACTCCATTCACTGACCCTCCCCCTGTACAACCCGCACAACAGTTTCCCTTTGCTCATCCACCCCGCCAACGCCTCACACACGAGCGCGCTCTCTTCTAGGAATACCTGCTTCCCCACCCTCGTTTGCAGGTGATCCCTAGCGTAGCCGTGGACTGCAGTAAGGCAGTCGGTAAAAGCCAATTCATAGCAGTGCAAGTTCTGCTCTGGGAGAGGAGCATGGCAGGACCGTTGGAGAACACACCTCCCACCCCCCAGCACCTCCCCGAAAACAGCCACATCTCTCTCCCAAAGCCCTATGACACAGCAAGCTCCCAAGCCAGATGGTAAAAAAAATTAAACGAGTTTTCTGCTCCCTCTAATTAAAGCGCACCATACTCATAACAATTTGTTCCACATTTGTTAAACCTATGGCAAAGCTTTGATAGGAAATAAACAACTTTGTTTTAGTTACAGTCAGGGAAAAAAACCCACAGAAGACTGCAACATGCCAGAAATGAAAAGCTAACGACTCAGGCTGTTACAGCCATCTAGCATTGACCCCTACCAGGGAAACCCCAACACTCCTCACTCAAGTAAGAGAACTTACTGTAACATGCATATAATGGAATAGCTGGGCACAATGGTTTTAACTGAAGATTGAATGCAGCCTTCATTGAATTCTTACTTTGACACTATCCCTTGAAATCAGTGCTACCTGCAGAAAGTGTATTGTTGAATTTTATGTCAAAGGGAATATTGTTAAAACTTTTATTTTAATAATCATCTCTCCACAAAGTTTGAGAAAGACTGCAGTGGCTTTTAAAATGTAATTTAAAAAAGCATATTAAGTATGTGATTTAACTTGACTTCTAATGATTGCCAAGGACGATAAATCAGATTTGTCTTTATGCTACGCAACTGGGCAGTACCATAATCCAAGAATGTAGGAAGTAGCAAGGTAACAGGATCCGTTCCTACACACAAATTCTACTAATCCATAATAATCAAAAGGTGAACTGACAATGTGGCAGTGTTATACTGTAATGGTAACTGCATGCCAGATAACCACAGAGTTCAACCTTTTCCTCTCCCTCCCATCAAAAAACCGTCAGGCAGTATTACCAAAAAAAAAGTGAAACAAGACTATCATAACAAAACAGATGAAAATACAGAATGGTTGAATAAGACTGAAATTGATGTCTTGCTCTTTGTTTTTCATCAAAGCAATGTTTAAAGGATCTTCAATGATTTCTATATTCTGTAAAGTTACAACATGTTTGAATTAATGGACTGGACCAAGAAGCATCTCTACTCTCACTGAAATATCCCTTTTGAACAAGGAAGAAAAGCAGATGCCAGAAAACTTCTATTTAACATCAGCTTGAAAGTTGAGTAAATCAAAACACATACCTGGAAGAAAAGAATCACATCTTGAAACACACATTTTAGCCTCAATCAAAAATTAATGTGCTAAATACCTTACCTATACTACAAGCAGCATGATACTGTTTCAACTTATTTACAGCTAAATAATCATCATTGCCAAAACCAGCAAGAAATTTCAGCTCACAACTAAAGCCTGTGGTAACACAAGGCACAACTGAAAACAACCGTCCCAAACTCTCTTACATTTAAGACAGCTTTGGTTTAGTAGAATTCATCACGAAAGTTAAAGCTAACGAATTTTTGTTCCTACATTGTGGTGTGTTATTTCCTTTGTAATAGTGGAAAGTGCATCTCCAAATTAAAATAATCTTGAAGCAGAGGCTAAAACAAGCCAGCAGAGCTTCTCTATTATAACTCACAAGTTGCAGGACTGATGACTGTGACACCAGCCATTAATTATCGATTTTATATTTTATCATTCAGGAGTGATTTAAAACACCCACCCTGTCTCACTGCTGCAGAAGCAACCATAAGGCAGGGGATTACTAAAGTAGTAATCAAGATTTTTGAAACAGGACTTGCTGTCCGATACACCTTCCAAAAAGCTACTATCTCCAAGAAATTCCCAACTGGAAACCAAAATGCTTTTTATTGGGCATAGCCACACAATTCATCCGGTTGCAATTCCAAGATATGTGAGTCTTTTCTTCAACACTAGGTTATCTTGGATCTTGAGATAATTGTGAAAACATGACTGCCAAGTCACCCTTAGGAGGGTGGTAGCTGGCCAGGCCTAGGACCCTGACAACATACGTGAACTTTCCCCAGAAAGAGGAGACTGCAGGTAAGCCAGTCAACTTCGGAAGAGAGAAAGCTTGCTTAAGTCCTCCTGAGCAAAATGAAAAAGCCACAGGCTCTCAATGGAGGTATGTTGGTGGATGCCTGTTATATCTGGAAAGGGCTGGAGGAGGTCATGGTGTAGGCATTCAGGTCTGAGCAGTCCTGGTGGCTTTACTTTCTTGAAAGTATTTAAACCTTTGGAACAGGCCTGCAAAAGCCTGAGGTGAAAGTTCAGAATGTGAAGGCCGCCTGTAGCCATGCTGGGGTGCAGCTGGTGTTTTAAGATCTTTCCACACCACATAGTGTACTAAGATTTAAATTTTCCCATGAGAATACCCTCTGAAAAAGCTGATTCATTTTCATCTCCTCTTCTGCTGACTTTGTCTTTATCAGCCTGATTTAACCAGTGGCACCTGTGCACACAGAGACTATGGTATGTTTGAAGAATTTGACAGTGCAAATTCCACAAAAGATTATTAAGGAACATGGCAAGATACCTGGTAACCTGCAGAGTAGCGAGAACAATCCTAGAAATCCTTGGGATCCAATCTTCAGTTCCAAAAGAAGGTTGTGTGCCAACACAGAAAAAGGAAGGACTGAAGACTTCCCAAGATGGAGATGAGGCTACAGATTCCTCCCCTTCCAAGTTCCACCAGAAGCAGGCTGGGAACAGACTGATTTTGCACCAGAACTTAAGAGGACCATGTCACGGTCTTGGCACTAGGGCAGTTTCACTGCTGATCATTCAACTAGCATTCAAGCCAGAAAGGTAGTTTGACACCAGAACAGGTTTTGGTGTTGGGTTTTTTTTTGATTATTTTTCTTTCTTTTTTCTTTTCTTCTCTTCAGTATTGGAGCATCCTTGGAATGGGCACTGAAGCTTGCTGACAGGCCTTCACAGATCCACTGCCTTCAGATTCTTTAGAGGACCTGTGGGATCCTAAGGAATGATGGTCCTGTCTCCTCTTCTCAGTCTCTTGACACTGAGGAAGAATGGTGCAGAAAAAAGACTGAGCCCACACCATTTTCCTTGTCTACTATACTGACCAAACTGTAAAGATGGAACAATTTCATCAACCCCTGAATATCTGAAAACCAGAAGGAATAATTAGATACCTTATGCCTGATCATCATGAGTCATTATGTATCCATCCAGTCACCCCTTATCTACCATAAGCTGTGTTGTCTAATACTACCTTCAGAAAGGCTTTCAATCTTAGAGATGAAGAATTCAACTTTTTCTTTAGTTGTATGTTGAAGCAATTATGTTTATTTTCACCAATTCCCACTTACTAGTTCATCTTCGGCTTCCAGCAATTGATTCTGGTATGCCACTATGAGACTAGACAGTCTTCTGACAATGGACTTGGCTGAATCTTTTGAGCATCATCAGTAGAACCTGTTTTTTTTTGGTTGGTTGGTTTTTTTGTTTGGTGGTTTTTGTTTTGGTTTGGTTTTTTTTTCCTATTTTGTTTTTAAAGGGGGTAGCTTATAGATTAATACAGGTAACAGTGACAGCATAAAGCACATTACCCTGGATGCAAGACAACATAGTGATACAGAGAATCAGCCATCCTCTTAGCCACTTAAGTTTAGCCAGCAAAAGGGCATCTTCTCACCACATGGCAATTCAGTGCACACATGCTAAGCCAAAACCTTAAGTACACTTGCATACCTCAGCTAACTTTGTTGCCTCTCTTCTGATACTTACTCAGCCACATTATATTCCTCCCTTCCTTCTCACCCCAAACATACAGTTGGAGGTTTTAATCATAAGTCTTGGATAACTTAATCACCTTTAATAAATGAAGGTATCTCTGCCTTCTGAAATAGTGCTTTTTGTCCAAGCAGACATGTTACCAGAACCAGATGAAGCAACCTTGCATTTCTTTAAATTCCCAGTCAATACCTTTAGCACTGAAGATTTAACACTGACAAGTCTTGGGTGTATTTGAAAGCTTCAGGATTTGATATCTAAGTGTTGCACCTATTCACATTAAAACAACACCCTGTCCAATAAATAAATGTTATGAGATAGAGAACTAAAATCATGCCACTGCATCTTTGAACATATATCACTGTGCCCACAAGCCCATCTCTTTATTCACTCAATACATAAGACTAATGTTCCACAGCAACTCTTCTTTACTTGCTTGACTTGCATGCATGACTACAGATTTCACGCTCAATGTTTTTAATTTATGGATTAATTTGTTGGGGTTTTGTCGTTTATTTATTTTTTTAATATGAGGTAATTAAGTCTTGTGTTCACAGCCTATACCACCCCTAGGAGGGGCATATACTGACAAGAATTTCATTTGCATACATACATACTGAGAAGCACACCTACTCCAGTGAGTAGGTTTTCAAGCATCAGATGTATTGCATTCACTTTGCACCAGTCCTTGAAGTACATGGATTTTCAGCCCTCAGTGGAGTCTTCAGATTTCAAGACTTGGTATAATTTTAGAATTTTAAGTGTTTTGTTATAACTGGGCTGACATTAAATACTAGTTTTAAAATGTCAAATTTAAAAATTAGCATGTACCTTTCATGTATGAATTTTGTCAATACACAAAAGTAGCATACAAAACACAAAGGAAAAAGCTGAACTGTCTTGGAGTGGTATCTACCCTTGACTAAAGGAAATTAAGGTTGTGTAGCAGTATGCTTTTCTTCTTGTAGGCTCAAGTCAGAAACACTTGCTAATGTGGAAATCCTGATGCAGCTTACAACACTGCCTGCCACCCCTCCCCACAGCCCCAAATACTGAGCAAAAGTGCAGGGGCTCACACAAAACAGGGAAATGTGTGCTCACAGTCATATTGACCAACAGCTAAAAAAATCCAAAGCAAAACCCTACAGACCTGCTGATGCTGACTACTGAGACTTTAGGTGCAATTAGACTTATGCATTGAGTCACAACCAAATCTGGACAGAAAGCAAAGAATCATTATCTTACAGCAAGAATAGCAATAAAGGTACTTTATATGCAAATAACTTACAGCACCAGTCCTACTCAGAATCAAACTCTGAAGACACTACACCAGTAAGCTACTTTAAAATGAGAGCGATACTTTTTCTGCAAAGAACAACTTTAATTCTGGTTACTGCAAAACAGATCTAGTTAACATGATTAAGTTGTAGCTAACTTTCCTATATTTTATAGAGAAAAAAACAACAACAAAAAAAACTTTGAAGCACTTAACTTTGCGTTTTTCACTGCAAAACCAGCTAAAGACTAAAGACTAACAACCATGGTCTAATAATTTCCAAACACTTTTTAATTAAGGAACATAACTAAAGCGAAAAACTTATTTTAGGTGCTTTTACAACTGATAACTAATTTTTTCATCCTCCATCTTATGAGAGGATTTTTTTTCTTTTTTTTAAATCTCCAAAGGAAACCGATTTAAGAACTAAAGGTGTGCCAAAATTCAGCAAAAATATTAAAGAACAAAACAGGTTTCTAGCCAGAGTCACATTAATGAGCTGCATACAAGTTAGAGGATATGATTATTTAACGAAAGGTTTGGGGTTTTGTGCTACCATCCAAAACAAGTACACCCTGCTCCAGAAAAACAATTAGTCACATCTTGAAGTATTTGCACGTGATAGCAGACCTGCTATGCACTCTCTTTATCCCTCAGTTCATTACCTAAAAAGATTTGCTAAGACAGAAGTCTAGCATTAGCCATCAAGCAACATGCAGACTAAACTTCACTTGGTAAAACTACTTCAGAATGAAAATAATCAACCCAGAATGATATGTAGCTGGCTATTCAGTTTTCAACTACTAACTGCTTCTGTCATTTGAGAAAACATGGAACAGACATCATTAAAATCAATGCTAATAAGAAAGCAAACAAAATGAAGGACAGAGAACTGGACTCTATCAAACTCTCAAGGTTAAGATCAAGCTTTTAGTAATTAGCTTTAAACAAACTCTTTGGATAACATAGTTGGTGAAGAAGCTGATATTAGGCAAATAACATCACCTTCAAATTTTACTAGAAAGGTAAAAAAGGACTTACAGAAGCAGTTAAAAGTCACTGACCTCTCACTAATTGCGTACATTTCACAACATCTGTGTGTGGATGTTCAATGGTAATCTCAAAACCTGAAGAGTTACGAATACATTTTAGAATTACACATTTGCATCTGTAAAATAAAAATACCAAACCCTTTTTGTTTCCCCACAGACCTCAAATGCTTGCTAAACCTTTGCACAGCAGATCAAGTAACACTATTTAACTGCCTTTTATTCTTCACCTTTTCATACTTTTCAAGAGTAGACAGTATAGCTACTTCAAGATCAATTAGTAAAACACTCCTTTGGTAATCTCAAATCCTATATATATATATGTGTGTGTGTTTTTAAAGTTGAACATATCTGAACAGTTTCTAGTACATTATTAAGTCAGTAAAAGCTGTATTACAGACACACTGAAATATATGTGTGCACACACGCTTTATTCATTGATTTCTGGGACTTAAACATGTTGCATCTATGAAATTACAAATTAAGTCATTTGTAGGTCAGTGACTTAAGAAACCTTTCTTTGTTTATGACACTATTTAAGAATGAGGTCATGATTGTTAGCTTTTTTTTTAAAAATATACTCAAATTGATATTGAAGAATATCTCAGTAAGTCAGTGTTCTCAGGCCTGCTAGCTGTAATTGTCTCTGTTTATGTTACTTTAAAGTCAGAAGAGTTTCTTATCAGAACATCCATTTCAAATTTTGGAATTACCCGAATCCATCGAATGGTTACACTACAGCTTGTGATGTTCAGAGGTAATAATCCTGCTCAATTACATATTGTTCTTTAATTGAAAGGCAAAATGGGGAAAAGCACTTACTATAAAGCTCTTCCCAATTGCTTCAGAACACATACACAGCTAACCTAGTATAACACGTTACCTTATATGAAGAAATATCAACATAGTTACTACTTTGGAGTAAAATCTGTTTGGAAGAGTACACATTTCTACCCCATCAAACCGTCAGAAACATCTATTTCACAAGTACAGATATGCCTTTTCTTCCTCCAAAGCAAACACAACAGAACTACTAATATAAAACTAAATTCATAGGTCAGAAGCTGTACACAAAAATAGTAAAATACTAGTGTACCAACAGCACATCAAAATTCCAGTTACTTGCGTTCCATTACTTCTTCGTGGTAAGTTGGCTGCACAGGAGATAATTAGAAAGACATACCTAAAGTTTGAAGCATTATTGTTTCAAGTATAACCAGCTCTTGGGCTTGCTGAAGGTATGCCTGAAACAAATAAGCAAACAGGTCAAGACGTAGCTATCTATTGTCTCAAAATTTTTTATCATACACTTCCTATTTGAATACTGGTACTAGCAGCACAAGTTAAGACCACTACCCAAGCCAGTTAGGACTGACGACTCGGAGCACTTCACTATGTAATACTTTTCTCTACCAGTATAAGCATTACTGCAAATGCAGTTATACCAGCCTAACCATCTTTCACAGTAAGATTTACTTAGTTTGGATCTCATATAATCTATTCCAGCAAAAGATTTTTAGAAGTGGGGGGTGCTGTAAGAATTACAAAGGCTTGCCAATACAAATCAACTCAACTATCTCTAGGCAGATAATCCATTTTACAAGTACTTTAAAATACAGCTGGAAATACTCAGTTGGCCTGTGTTAAGCTAGCTTAAGCTTGTGGGCTCAAACGCCCATATGTGTATATATACCTCCACCTGACATTCCAAGACCTGGGAGCATAACAAAGGTGCTCAAAATACGTCAGCTGAGGTCCAGCAGGGTATAACTAGCTCAGCCTGACCTTCAAGCAGAACAACTCTGGCGCATTTCCACCACGCTTCCTCATATGTTTGGTTTCAGGAAGACTCATCTCAGGAAAGAAAATGTGAACGATAAAGCGGAAGCTGTACAAGCTTTGGCAAATGAAAGGAAGACCAATGTATCACAGAAGGCAGCAGCTGACAACTGTATCGCATCCTTTAAAACAGAATGTAGACAACAGTGCAGTGAGCCTCTGGCTGAGAGAGGAACACAGTGTCCTGAACTCCTCTCTGCGCAAACTGTGTGACTTATGGAATCACACATGAAACCTCTTATTTAATATCTAGCCTAGTCTTCCACTATACATGTAGAAGTCTTAAAAATAATGCAAGTTCAAGACGAAGCAATCTCTCTAAGTTTCATAACGCAAATATTTCAGTCTTTAATAAGTTACATTAAGTAATACAAAAGACTTAAATGGTATAAAAACAAAAGTTTTTTCTAGTTTGCAGACAGCAATAATCCAGTCAAGACAATGTAACAGATCATTAGATGAAGTGTCATCTGATTATCTTTAAAACCATGACTTCCACCTACATCACTCTTTGTATCCAGTTGTGGCTCTTGAGGATGAAGACAGGCATGTGCTACTTTAATAACATGTTCAAGTTTCCGTGGCTGTTCTTCCACTTTTGCAGCCAAAAACAATGCCGTAGGAGATATTATCTGAAGAAGAAAAACATATGTATTTTTTAACTTTTTACAAGTAGGACTTGAATTTTTATGGAGAGTCTAAAGTGGTAATTAGAAAAGGTTTAAGAAGTTGGATTTGTTTGTGGGGTTTTTTTTAACAGTTCTGAAATCATGCAAGGTAACAAAAATAACTACTCATGTTTTATTTTATAACTGATGTAATCCTCTCAGCAGCACAGGGAAAGAGTAGCATAAATGCTAAATTACATTTGTGACTAAGATGTCTAAGGTCAAACTAATTCTAGTTCAACATAAAAAGAATAGATTTGGCCCAGAAGATTTAGTCGCACTAGAACAGGCTGTTTCAAGTTGAATATACTTCATGAGAAAGTTCATCCAATTTCTTGCACAGTAGTGAGCCATTACACCATCTTTTCAGTAAAAGTCAAACCAGCTGATCACAACTTCTGCTAGCATTCGATTCTCCTGAAGAGCAAGAAACTTTGCAGAGAACTTTATGGAAAACAGCTTGTTATATAAAAATAGGCTGTATAAGTAAAACCTTACTCTTAGAAACTTTACATCCAGCAGTATTTGGTGAACAAAGCACAAAGATTCACAAAAAAGCAGTTACATCAAGTCTGAGTAAAGACTACAAGATGTTTAGAGTTGAAAATTTTCATAAAACTCTAGGTGTCATAAGCTGGCAGCAAAGCACCCATTCACAGTTCATTCAGTATCACCTAGGAGTTAGCCATGACGCAGGGTTGTGATGCCTAGTTATTAGCTAAAATGACTGATGTATCTATATACAGAGCATGGCTAACCATAAAAGACTTAAAAGAACCAGGGTCCTCTTTGTATGCAAAAGTTGACCATGTTAGACAGGAATTAAAACGACAGTAGAAATCTTCATGTAGACATGAGCAGATTAAATTGGTTAAAATTAAGACAGTATAAAGCATTTATTCAGAGATTGAAAGAGTTGTTTGTTGAGTATTTAATTAATGCATTGTGCAAGCAGCACAGGTATTGGATTTCTCATTCAATGTGCAAGTAGAATGAGACTGAATGAACTGAATAGCAGCTGTACTTCCCCCCTAAAGTGAGGTTTGCTTTTTTTTTTTGGTCAGCAAGCAGACCTTTGTTATGCCAGAATGAAACATTTGGTGTAAAAATTCACAATATATGGAAAACTGCAATGAACTGATTAGAATTGAACATTTAAGCAATTACCCATTACATTTCAGGAACTTTCAAGTGTACTGAGGGAGTACTTTTTGCCTCCTTAAATCACTTCGAAATGTCCCCTTAGATCTGAAGTAAATCTTTTAAGTTGGCAGACTTGAGGAAAACTGAGACCCTGGGAAGGTGATACCCCTTGATGCACAGAAGCATGCTATGAAGAAATCTAGTATTCTAAAAAAACCCAAACCACCCAAAACAAGTCACAGAGAGAAAATTCTTCCACAACAGAGAAAAAAGAAACGACTTTCTTTTTAAGAAGTTTGTAGCTCAAGCCTTACAAATGCATGAAATGAAAACCTGAAGTCAGGTGTTGCTGAACCACGCTGTATTAACACTGTCATTCAAGACTTCTGATGATTTTTGAGAAGTTCCTACCCACATCACTTGAATGATTTGAAATTCTGGAAGAAACTCCCTTTGCTAAGGACATACTACTTGAAATATGTCTCACTTAAGCTGGGAGAGAAACTTTTAAGTACTAAATGTGAAGGAAAGACTTTCTGGAGTTCAGAAAGCTAGAGTACCAACAGCTTTGAAGTGCCAGATATACAGTAGCATGCACGTGTATAACCCAACATACACATGCCATATAAAGATATTCTACAGAGCAGACAAACTGTGCTCCTGTCCAGTAATGCACAAACCCAGGCAAACCTCTCTCGTCTACACTTGTTTCACCCATATAATCCCTGCGGTAGTGTCTCCCCAGTGTGCTTCAAGGATTTAGGGTAGGCGTAACTGAGAAAGGTGTTTAAGGCTAGCACCTTGTACACCAGGGCCAGCCTAAGAGGAAGGATTACATTCTCAGACATAATCCTGAGCTTTTGGGAAAAGCCAGATTAGCAGACAGGGCCAGGAAGCCAGAGAAACATGACCAACAGAGAAGAAAGGAAATCAGGAATGTTGAAGAATCTACAGAGTTATGAAGAAACAAGTTTGACAAGACATTGGACAGAAATGAGGAGGTATTAATGAGCACACCAGAGAGACTAGAACTGGTTCAATTTTATTTTTTTTTTTTTTTTTACTCAGGAAAAAGGATACAATGAGGTAGACCATGATGGACTGAAAACTAAGACTCAACATAGTGAAGTCAGTGAGGAAGGAAAGTTAAGTCATGAAGTTTATGGAATCAGAAATAGAATGGATGATGGGAAGAAGCTTTAATAGAAAGTAAGTAGAAGATCTTTTCCATCTCCCCAGGATCACACAATTTTTATTGTTTTAATTTAAAACAAACCAAACAGCTGTTGGGTCAGTAACCTGTAGCAGTGCCTTACTGCTGGGCTGAAGAAGAACAAAAGCAACTGCACTGTGAGCAATGAAGTGTTGCTCCCTGCTGCTCTCCCCTTTTTTCTAGCCTTACCACCCCCACCAAGCATCACACACTTATCCCCAAGCACCTGCATCCAGGCCTTACAGTTTTTCTAGCTTTGTGTACAAGTTCAATCCAAATATATCCTAACACAAGGTCTCTTCCTACACAGATTGTGGGTATAGTTACACATACATGGAATTTTCACAGTTTACCATTCTGAAAAAATCAACTTCCAACAATTACCGTGAGTAAAAATATTTACATTTCACAGAGCCATTCTTCGAACCAAGTCACCAATAACTGCACAATTAAATAATGAGAACACTCTCACTCACTATTATTTGATGTTTGACTGCACTGAAGTTTTATTTCATTCCAAAAAAGCACCTTCTTCATCAGGCTGACTTCAGGATATTTTCTAACTTACCAAAACAGATCAGTTCTAGCCGAGAACTCTCCATACAATTCCTGACCTCCAAGACCTCACATAAACCACAGTTCTGGAGGCTGATTTAAGTCAAACTGATTAACTGGCATTTAACTCTGGTGCATCAGAAATCTACGTACACCCCAATTATCTATGTCCTTAAAACAGAAGTGTTGGCTTCCAGCCAAAGAATTTCAGGTCTTGGTTCTCATTCCCAGTTTAGAGTAGGTCAGTATTTTTGTCTCCCTTGGTATTTATTCAGGAAAATAGACATCCTAATAAAATTTCAGACTTGGCATGCATACAGTCTTCAGTGAAGATGACACACCCTGCTAAGCGTGTAACTGGCAAAGTTACTCAAACACTTTCATTCATTTCCAATTCTCAAAAATGACAGAAAAAGCAAAGTAGAACAAAAAAGCAAAATTAAAGACAGACTTGACAAATCTGTAAGTTTCCTATATATAAACATCTTCATTTGACATAAACCAAAATAAAGTTATCTACCATGCACCCAAAATATTCTTTAAGACTTCAAAAAATTTCTTCAGAAGAACACACGTGATTTATGAAATTAAATCCCTTTTTTGTACTAGCTGAGAAACTCAGAAGCCAAGTCCCACTGAAATAGAAAAACCAAACCGTAAGAGCCTTATTATGACAGTCCAAGAGCGTTATACAGCAAGTTTTATTGGTAAATGTGGTACAAGTCCTTTTTCACTAAAAAGTACAAGACATATTGTAAAAACAGTGTTGCTACAATGAAGGCATTTGGAATAATCTCAGAATACAGCTGCAGCATGCACATTGTTCCCTGAGAACTCCCTCTCCCTTTTAATGCCAATATTTGTATGTTCTTAGACCTGATACAAAATAGCTTAAGACATTAAGTGGTCCCAGTCTATGACAGAGGTTTTTCAAGTGCAAACACAAAGAGTTGCAAGGTTTTTTTTATTATACCCAGGAGCTCACATTACATAAAAATCAGCAAATACGATAAATTGCAAGATTAAAAACAGAACTGAAGTGGTCCAGAACAGCCTTGCTAAAGCTTGGTGCATATTACGAAAGTTTTAAGAACTTTGCACAACTGCAGAGTCAACTGTTCAATACTGCAATTTGGACAGGGCACAAGAGACAGGAAGGGAATACAGAGGGATGGGAAACAAAAAAACCCCTCCACACAACTCGCCTACCTTGCGCTTCAGAGAAAAAATTCCTCCTGCAGCCTTCTTTAGGCACGTCATTAAGTTCCACTGCATGTCACACAAAAAACCCTTGACATCATCAAGTATATTTTCAACTGGTTGTTTGGTATTACACATGGCATTTCTAAGGATTACATTTTAAAATACAGCTACCGTTTGGATGCCTTACCTCTCATTTCCAGCATACCAAGGATTTTTCCCCCTTCTCTGTTCTTCAAATCACTGTGTACTAAAGAATAAGCCTCTAAAAGAGGTATTTGCTATATAACAATATCAAACACACTAAGTACTACAGAAACAGTATTTCCAGAAGAACTTTAATTTTCAAGATATTTTAAAGTGTAACAGTCAGGCTAGCATTTCCTATAAAAAGCCAGCAAGCTCCCTCCCCACCCCAATATTAGCACTGACTAACTTTATACTCAGCAAACCAAAGTTACTATGCCCTGGTCAACAGTAACATAAAAAGAATAATTTGTACTACTGCTGAGGGGATTCATAGTAGTTCCTGAAATGTCATTTGCATAGCTAGGGAAAATTAGTAGCCAGGGCATCCAATTCAGCTTACCAGAATTGGTAAAGCAAGTTTCGACCCTATTACTGAGGCATAGCAACCTTGCAAAGTCTTAACCTGCTTTGATTGCAACATCAAACCCCCAACACATTCTTCACTGCAACTAAAAGTATGTACTTCGTGGATAATCCATAGCAATTCAAAAGTGACTTGCTAGCCCACAGTAAATTCACAAAAAAAGGATATTTGGTCATTAGAGCAATAAATGCAATACATTCCAAACGAACCAAGACTATATTAACTGGTATGTGCCACCCCTGTGGCTCTACAGATTGAAGATACTGTTGGGAATTCTGTTCCCTATTCGCAGTTGACTCAAAATCTTGAAAGCCTGTAAAACTGCTTAGCAGTAACTTACATTGAAGAAAAAAAAAAGAATTAAGACAACAACTATTCATTAAATGAGCTTCCACTTGAAGACCTGTTTATTAACAATTAAGTACATGTGACTTATATGTAAGACATACACATGTATTTGTATAGCCCAGCAATTATACGTGACAATAAATATGCAAGTGGTTATTACTTGGCTAAAAAAATTAACCTACCAATAAACGCAAGAAAACAAAGGCTACATTTTTTCAGCTGGAGATCATAAGGCATTCTGACTAATGGCCATCTAATTTTCTAGCCCCAGCCTTCAGATTCCTTCTTGCCATGGACAAACATCACTACATCCACACAACAAAAAAAATATACCATATACTGTGGAAAATTTTAGCTAGGTCTTTGCTTCAAGGCTGCCAGGACTTTACTATTTAATTTCTAAGGGTTAGTTTCTTTTTGAAGTGGATGAATATTGTTACATTTCTTAGCTTGCCAAGTACTCTGGAGATTTGATATTAAGTATTTATTACAGTCCTTGGCTTTTGCTTTCTCTACAGAGAACCCACCAGATGGTTTGGGAGTATTTTAAAAGTGACTCACATTCACTTTGAGATCACCCCTTTTACCCAATAGGAAAATAAGTAAGAAAATGCATTTGCCTATCAGTACACACACAAAGCTGCTGTCTGGCCTTACGCTCATCAAGAACTACAGAAAGTAATTCAGCAGGAATCAATATTACTGACTGCTCACTTGCAGTGCACTTGCCTTTAACTTCTATTTGTATAGTGTTACCTGAGAATCAATTTAACAATACACTTTCCCCCTCCTGTAACAGTCGCAGTTTCCATGGCGTTCAGCAGCTTACTTGCAAATTTTAAGATTCATAAATATAACTTAAGGCATAGCTTTCATAACAAGGGCACTATATATCCAAATACTACTGTGCTTCCAGTTCCAAGCCACCGGCATTTTCCACTGTCTGGTGAAAACCCAAACACAGCAGCTAAAGCTTCTTGCTACCTCAATCTATCCTAGATTACCAGATGACAGTACAAACAGTAATCTAGCAGATGATAACACAAACCCCAGCTACAGCAGCTCTACACAGAGTGACCTCTCCATTCCAAGCAGCTCTGCCTAGTTTATCCAGCCCGCAAGTCACCCACAGTCACAGAAAACTTGGGATGCCTCACCAGCTCCTCTTCCACTGGCTACAGATTACTGCTACATGGGCAGGTATGCAGAGGGGAGAAAGATGGAGCAACTGTTTCACTGCCTTCACTCGATATATTACAGGAACACTTTCACAGGGCATATTCCACCACAAAGCCTGCTGGAACTTGATTCTCATGTGTGCTGTTCTTGCTCTAGAACTAGAAAACTGTTTTAGGGAAGTACATTTTGATGTATATGTATATCCATCCATTCAATACACAGCTCTCTATCACTACATAAACAAAACCTACAGTATATATTTCTTCCAGGCTTATGCACACTTAGCTCAGGTTGTATGGAAACTCTTGGCTTTTATTACATAACGACCTGTAACACCGCAGTTTTGGTAACAAGCTTGCTGGAAGTTTGAATTCACCTCAGATTTTGCACAAAAATACTTAAATACACTTCTGAAGTGTACCTACAAACTAATACTTATTTCCTGCTGAACAAACACCAAATAAGCTGTCCATTTGCTCAGCCAACAATGATAAACAAATTCATGCCAGATGAAAGAGTTGGCTAACGCTGTAACTCACTGTGTACCTGCCCAAATTTCAGACAGTGCAAGGTTTGCAAGATTGTGCCCCTTGGCAGACCAAGGTCTGCTCTGGTCTAGACCATATCACCTGTCACACTGTCTCACTCCGTTTCTCATGAAAAGCCAAGATCTGAGAAAACTCATCCTCACCACTTAGTGATGTACCACCATAGTTATTAACTGTTCTTGCAAAGTTAGTAAAAAATACTGATGAAAAGTACTTCCCCCCCCTTTAAAAAACAAGACTACCTAGAATATTACATGATTATTTTTCTAACTACTGCATCCAATACTGGACATAAAAAAAAAAGTCTTGAAATTTTCAAGTTGGTATCTCAGGTTCCATACCTGTTACAAAATCCCTCAATTACAGGTAGTATTTTTACTGAAGAATTCAGTTCTTCATAACACATTCTGTATTCAGATTCAGCATATTCAGTTCATTAGTAAAAACAGTAGAGCTGGCGTTTTCTCATCAGATTTAGGGATTTTTCTTATCTAATATGACTTATCATCATACTGTTTAAGACTAGACTAGTTAAATGAATTTACACTGCTTTTTGAGAACAGATACATAATCCATATGGATGCACACATAACCACATTATAATTGTCAGACACACCATGCTAGCACTACCACTGAATTCATTAAGAAAAATGTGTGTTCCTACACATCAGCCTTTCAAACTACAGCACATAAGCACTAGCCAGACTCAGAACATCTAAATGCATTCTTCACACACCCAAAATGTATTTGCTGATGGTGCCTATTTTTTTTTTATTTCGATGGCAGAAGATAAACATCTAATTGCCACTAGTTAAAATAATTCAAAGTTGAAAAGAAGCATCATTATTGCTTCTAAACCATTGATAAGAAGCTAGGATTCCTATAAACGCACCAAACTTTACAATCCAGCAGAGCAATGTAACACTTAGTCAGACTGCCAAAATTATGGGCATATTATTACCGCATATAAAATCATACTTACATTTCGATTAAATTTTGTGAAGGAATGATGCATATAAAACCTGTGCATGTAAACAATTGCAGTGTTTATCGTAAGCTGAGATCTGGAAGACTAAATTAAGGAAACACTACATATTAAGAAAATTGTTTACAAGAACTGAAAGCAAGGCGCCTTCTATATCAATCATTGCTTTCAACACACTGTCTTCGGCCGAAAATGAATGAAGGACGTGACACTTCAGAACTCAGCTGCTATTAACGCATCCCTAACCGACACTGACACGCATCTTCCCCATCTGTTTCGCAGACAATGTGGAGATTCCTACACCGGACCAGCCACATCTCACCCGCTGAACGAAAACTCCTCAATGGGCGACATACACCGAAATACCGCCTCAAAGTGCTTTTGTTTTGTTCCGATTCAACTATTTCAGGCGGGGATCCGAGGCTTTCGCCTTACTCCCATTTCTCGCCTTTTTTTAAAATCAGATCAAAGCACGGCTAGCGAGGAGACGCCCGCCTGACGGAAAACGAGTCCGCAAGCAGCAGGGACCGACTTTAGGAGTGTCTGAG